TAGTAAGTATATCCCTCACAGAGTCTCTCACAGTTAGCTCTCAAGGTTTGCTGTGGGGAAGGGTGACTCAAGGACTTGCTCAGCAAAGGAACGTTTGGTCACTCAAGGTTTAACGCAACAAAGACCGCATGACTCCATGACTCTCAATGTTTTTCAGCGCAATGTCTGTCAAACAGTGTTATATACATGGAAAATACTGACAAACAGGCCACATCATCTTCCATCCACTCAAGGCTTTCCTTCACAAGCTAAAATAGGGCGTAAAACTCATTGGCAGCAAACACATATACTTTTGCAAATGGCCCCCAAGAGGAAGAGAAGCGGTGGACTTCGGCAAAGGCTTGCGCAAGCGCGGAAAGAAGAAGGGTCTGGGGAGATGCAGGGGCGAAGTGCGCTGGCAATCTTGCTTCTAGATCTATTTGCTTGGGGTTTCTTTAGCCCGCAAAGAGTGCAGGAAATCGCCCAGAAAGCTGTGCAGGATTTTGAGCGCGCGCAACGTGATGAAGGTGTCATGAACGACCTTCGTACTTTAGCTGCCATTGGCACCCATGGCGCCCATGCCAGCAAGTGTCACAGTGGATTAATGAAGAAGGCTGAACACCTTAGCAAACTCCCTGAACCTTTTCCATTCAGCGCGCACTTCAAGGGAACGCAGAATCTTGTCCGACAAACCCTCCTACTACCTCACGAACTATTCAGCAGCCTGTACCACCACTACAAACATGTTTGGGAGAAGTCAGTGGTACCATCACTGAGTGCAGTGCGCAAATTCTGGGGACAAGTTGAAGGGCACCCACAGCTGCAGGAGTATCCCATTCCTGCTGACCAAGTGGAGCGCACGATCCCTATAGCCATACACGGAGACGGCGTGCCGGTCGTTGGTGTGGGCAAGGGGTGGGGGCGTAGCGTGACAAATTTTTCGTGGTACTCGCTGCTTGGAATTGGAGGGACCGGTGAGGTCATGATGTGGATCTGGGGCATGTATGACAAGCTGAAAATAGGTGACCTAGAAAATGGAACTTTGGCTGATTTTTTTCAAGTCTTGAGATGGTCGTTGTCAGTATTGGCGTCTGGAGTGTGGCCACATCGCGATCACCGTGGACAATTGCAACTTGATTGGTTTTTTCGTAAAGGATAAGTCTCCAATCATTTTATAAAACACATATTAATAGTTTCCTTTGCGTTTTGAGCACCACACAGTGTTTTCACCGGGCACTGACAAGAACTTGAGGTACGCGCGAGGGACGCCAGAGGCTGCAAAAGCAGGCAAACCCTTAGCAGGTGGATGGCGAGGAAGGTTCTTTGCCTTGACAGGTGACTTGGACTATTTCCACTACATTCTAGGGTGTCCAAATTGGTCGTTATCAGGGGGTCCCTGCGTCCACTGTCAATGTCAGCTCAACGGAGACAACAGTTGGACAGACTACCGCCCAACTGCGGGCTGGAGGGCAACTCATTGGCATCCACATCATTGGCGAGCTTGGCCAAACAGGAGCAAATGTGCACTTCTGACTTTGCCAGGCTGTTCATGCTACACAATTCACTATGATTGGATGCACGTCAAATACCTTGGGTGTGATTTGTACACTTTTGGTTCGTGCATGACAATGCTGACAACAATGATGATGCCAAGTACACCGGAGAACAACCTGACAGAATGCTGGTCTTTTTTGAAGGCTTTCTTCCGGCAGCATGCCACCAAGTCACCGTTTCGGTACTTGACCAAACTGTCGATGTTTGTAAGGACTGGTAAGTACCCCAAACTTAGGGGGAAAGCCTCGGAAGTGAGACATTTTGGGCCTGCACTACTTTCCTTGTGGCAGCGTCACATGAACAGTGCCATTACAATCCACAGGCAGATTGAACTGATCCTCAAAGCAAACATTGCATTGGAGCAGTATATATCGGACTATAAGGGTGAATTCGCATTCCCTCCTCTGGTTGCTCAAAGGTTTGAGGAGACCTGCACCACAATGCTACTCCTCCAATCCCAAGTCGCCGAACACTTTGTAGGGGAAGGCCTCAAGCTCTTTGACATCACTTCAAAGACACACATGCTACAGGAGCTGGCCATAGCAAGCAAGTATATATCACCTCGAGTGGTGTGGGCCTTCATGGGGGAGGACCAAATGCAACGAGTCCAGAAAGTCGCACAAAGTTGCACTAGGGGTGTCGGTGTATCAGTGCAAAGTGTCAAACTTGCACGCCATTACCGACTTGGTCTCCATTTCCTATTTCAAGGCCTGGAGCCATGAAGTACAGCCTTTTGCCAGCGTCGAAAGGTAAGCGCTGCGCCCTCAATATTTTTGCACTCCTTGAGAACCATCCCCTGAGAGACCTTGAGAGACCACGAGGGTTTAAAGAAACAGAAAAGGGACATGGGACAAATAGACAAAGCAATAAGACGAGAGAAAGAAAAAGAGAGGGAGAGAGAGAGAGAGAGACAGACACAGACACACAGACACAGACACAGACACAGAGACAGAGACAGACAAAGACAGACAGAGACAGGCAGACACAGACAGACAGAGACAGGCAGACACAGACAGACAGACAGACAGACAGACAGACAGACAGACAGACAGACACAGACAGACACACAGACACACAGACACACAGACGCACAGACACACAGACACACAGACACAGACAGACACAGACACAGACAGACACAGACACAGACAGACACAGACACAGACACAGACAGACACAGACACAGACAGACAGACAGAGAGGAGAGAGAGAGAGAGAGACACACACACAGAGACAGACACACAGACACACAGACAGGGACAGGAGAATGTTTGCGTGATATTTGTGATTATAGTGCGCGCGTTGTGCGTTTGTAGGTAAGACAAAAAGGGGTGTCGAAGTTTGGTCGAAGTTTGGGCCCGGAGCAATCTAACTAATAGTTAGAATCGGGTCGAAAACAAATAGACTAATAGTTAGAAAAATATCTTGCTTTGGCGACCCCAAAATTTAGTATAATAGTTAGATTTGCGGCGAGCCTATATTATAGATTTCGATAGATTTATTTTTCCAGAAATTGACTAAATAGTTTAAAAAAGTAAACTATTTTAGACAAATTCACTTTAGATCTATTTTATGGATATATATAGAAATCTATGATATAGATCTATCAAGCAATTTTGACTAAGAAGGTCTATTGGGTAAGTAGGATCGCCAACCTCTTTTCGCCATTCGCAATACAGTGAGCCAATAGGAATGAGAGCCTTAGCTCCTCGTTCCCAACAGGCGGGTGGTAGAGAGTGGCAATGGAGGATGCCCAGGGGGAACCTTAGTTCCCTCTGTTGATGTCCGACATTTCCAATTTTGTACAAAGAGGTACAGATACCATGCTAGGATAGGTCCAACGTCTCACCTGTTTCACACGGGCCTTGCGCGCAACAGAACAATTTTTGCAATGACGCAGCATTTCACGAAGTTAGGGGACACCCCGTTTTGGCACCTCTGTGTGCCGAAGGGTGCCGAGATGACCTCCCTTCGGGGGGGGTGTGCCCTTCGCACCCTTACCTGCAGGCTTTCGTCGTTTGCTATGGCCGCCACTGTCTGAACACTACCAACTACTATGCCTCTTGACTTGTAAGTGCAACCAGTTGAATGGGTTGTGCTACAAGAAAGGTATTTTCCACGGCATGATCTGCGTAGCAACCACTGATCCACTTTGATATGGATATAACCGGCGTTAGAGCATATCAATGCTCGGGACCTGCATCGTGACCATGTTTTTGCCACACCGTGCAGTGGCCGCTGGTCACTGGTAATTGAGATGTGAAGTCCATTTGAAGACTTCTTGGAGACTTTGCTAGAGCACAAACCCTCGCTGCCATGCTCTTCGCTCGAGAATTCAGGCCCATCGATAGTCAGTAGTCTTCGTTTCACTTGTTTCACCTTAGCACAGAGGAAAGACTACAGGATGGTGGAGACTCGGCCTTTGGGCTGTGGTTGGCGGTTGTTTTTTGTTGTTGGGTTGTCTTTGTCCCTTTCTCCACCATCTGACTGTATTTCCCTTCCTTCAATGATGACCTGGGCACCATGCCCACACGGCGTCCGTACTCGTGGAAAAAAAATCTGTCGGCAAGGCAAGTGCGACAATGCCCGCCTCCAGAAAACAGCAGTCCGGCAAGCATCGGTTTGGGCGCGCTGCATCCGGCTCTGGCATACCTAAATTGATGTGACTCAGAGCTGTGCACGCTTGAAAGCTCGAGGCCTCAGTTGGGCTTGGGGGGCTAGCCTATTGATAGGGCATTGAGCTGTGCCCACCCTTGTTAAG